TGGGTCTAACCAAACAAAGACAGAAGATACACAAGCAATCAGGGATGTTGTGTCTAACCAAACAAAGACAGAAAAGAGACAAGCAATCAGTGATGCTGGGCATAGACAAACAAAATGGACACAAGCAGTCAGATTTGCTGGTAATAAGACTAGACAAACAAAGACAGAAAATACACAAGCAATCAGGGATGTTGGGTCTAACCAAACAAAGACAGAAAAGAGACAAGCAGTCAGAGATGCTGGGCATAGACAACAAAACGGACACAAGCAGTCAGATTTGCTGGTAATAAGACTAGACAAACAAAGACAGAAAAGACACACGCAATCAGAGATCCTGGGCCTAGCCAAACAAAGACCGAAAAAAGACAAGTAGTCAGAAATATTAGACCTAGCCAAACAAAGACAAAAGTGAGACAAGCAATGAGAGATGTTGGGCCTAAAAAAAAAAACAAAGACAGAAAAGACACGGGCAAACAGAGATTCTGGGAATTATCTCAAACCAACAAAAGCAGAAAAGACACGGACAAACAGAGATTCTGGGCATAGCCAAACAAAGACAGAAGAGAGACAAGCAGTCAGTGATGTTGGGTCTAGCCGAACAAAGACAGACAGAAGGTAGGCGAATAGACAACTCTCGGCACACACAAGAGATAACGTCGACACCAGCACTGACCTCGACTATGACCTACTTCACGCGGCGGCACCATGCCCCGGGGGTGGCTCCCGCAGGCCAGCGTGTCTAGATGGGTGGAGCGACTACTCCCCGTGTGAAAGTCTATTCAGACTGGAAGATAAATTTGTCCATATTTCTCTCTCCGTTATATACAAATCAAGCTGTACATTTCGTAATACAGTGGCACCCCAAGAATCAGTTAAACAAAAAAGTTACATAATCAATAACAAACTAATGTATCCATCAGTGGGCACCTTCAATTCAAGATGAAACATCCTAAGAAATATCTGCAGACCCATTATAAAAAGATAAATATATTTAATTAATATTCACTATCAGAAATACCACTTCTCCCTTTTTGAAAAATATTTTTTTTTTTTTTTGAGTATTAGTAATATTAGAATATATATAAAAACATAATTTGATAAAAGTACTGCCTGGATTAAGGCGTAAGAATAAAAAAATGAAATACTTATTTACATAATGTACAAAAGGTTTGAGCCGGCCATCAGGAAATAACAATGATGAATTTTTATAGGGGAAGCGTGACCTCTGGCGGTCGATTTAGCAGAGTATTTGAATCTATGAAATATATATTTTTTTGAATAAAATAATATTTTAATATAACATATATATATAATCTTTGATACCATAACATAGTGTTAAAATGTATTGAAATTTCAAACAGAAGAATAAATATTGTAATTTAGATCACACACAACCATGTTATAGCCTTTTGAGGAAAGACTAATACACACACACACACACTAGAGCATGAGTGGCTTCTGAGAAAAGGCTCAAAATCACACGAAGGAGTATGGTCGACAAAGAAACGGTTAAGAAAAACGCCTGAAATTTAAGCTAGAAAGCAGTTAGAAGTTTATATTATGTATAAATAAGTTATATATATGTATATAAGTTTATATTATATTATGTAACATTATATATAATGTTGACACACATTAAATATGTTATAACACCTTGATAAAAGTTGGCGTTCAGCCAACTGAAATATTGGTAAAGTAAATGATATTTTTGATCCAATATATGCCTTTTTAATTGAAGAAGTTGATATATAAATGAATAGGAACAACGCCATATCATACTGTTATAAAATATCTATGAATGTAGAGATTATAAAACTGTTATGTAATATATTTTAAATCCACAAAATATCGCAGTAAGTGTTAATTAAAGCTGATTATAACACTTGATACAAGTTTTTATATAATCGAATGAAAGAAATATCGCAGCAATTTAGAGATTCATTAGCCTTTTGAACGAGGTTTTGATGTTATTGCAAGAGTTTTTGATGTTATTGCAGGAATATTTGATGTTACTGCAAGAGTTTTTGATTTTATTGCAGGAGTTTTTGATGTTATTGCAGGAGTTTTTGATGTTATTGCAGGAGTTTTTGATGTTATTGCAGGAGGTTTTGATGTTATTGCAGGAATTTCTGATATTATTGCAAGAGCTTTTGATGTTATTGCAAGAGTTTTTGATGTTATTGCAGGATTTTTTGATGTTATTTCAGAAGTTTTTGATGTTATTGCAAGAGTTTTTGATGTTATTGCAAAAGTTTTTGATGTTATTTCAGGAATTTCTGATGTTATTGAAGGAGTTTTTGATGTTATTGCAGGAATATTTGATGTTATTTCAGGAGATTTTGATGTTATTGCAGGAGTTTTTGATGTTATTGCAAGAGTTTTTGATGTTATTGCAGGAATTTTTGATGTTTTTGCAGGAGTTTTTGATGTTATTACAGGAGTTTTTGATTGTATGAATTATACAAGTTACTAAATCAAAGCCGCCTCTGTAGCGATGAGAGTCATAACCCGATACTATGGTATACAAGTTGCTGGCCTTTTTTTATCTGAATTTGCCAAAATTGAAATTGTTGCTTATTCTTTATCATCCCCTTTACTTTTCTTTACTGTGGTGATAAATATAATGCATTGTTGTGATGCATATTGCCACGTGGAAAATTAGGGAAGACCAACTTCGAAAATATCTTTATTTACGGGGCTGTTAATCAAAATGAATGATTTTTGAGCCCCCAAAAAAGTGTCAGAAGTGGGATTCGAACCCACGCCCACATCAGTGGACCAGAGAACACCCAACTCCCGCTACGGAATAAGATTTACTCTTGAGTCTGACGCCTTAGACCACTCGGCCATCCTTACACGAAAGAATAACGAAAGACCAACTTCAGCATGAGACAGTAATTTATTTAAGGCAAGAACAAACAATGAAGGATAAACAAAAGATAAGAAATGAGGGAAGTTTACAGAGTAGTCAAATATAAACATAAAAATAATACTCTGCTAATAAAATAATAAATGCTTCGTTACAATATTTAAATTTAGAAGTACCTCTTTTGGTACCATATACAGTGATGGGGGTGTCTTGTCCAATCCAGTCTATTTACAGTAAACCATCAATAAACCAAACCAGAGTAAAAAAAAAACTTTCCATATGACGAGCCTAAAATAATCACTCTAATTTTATTCCATTGGATATATACTAGAGTCTTCATATAGTCCGTTAAATAATGAACTATCTCTATTACAAACTTCATTTTAGATAGAAAAATCATAATTTCTAGTTAAAAGTGTTATAATGAATTAAAGGTTTTGTTTCATTGGAATTCTCTATTGTAAGGTATTTTTACTATAAGTTAATAATATAATAACGAATAGATTCAAAAAGGATAAGTTTCTTTATTTGAAAAATCAATTCGAGCTTTCGTGCGCAAGCTGCCCTTCTACAGGAATAATAGCAGCTTGCGCCCGAAAGCTCGAATTGATTTTTCAAATAAAGAAACTTATCCTTTTTGAATCTATTCGTTATTATAATTATTGAAAGGATTATTCGTCTTAAGTTAATAATATGTTTACAAATTAAAGATACTTCGGCCAGTAAATATTTTTTATTGTCTTTTAATTCTTTACCAAATGTTTTGATTTTGTTCGCTCCTGACGAGGACTAAAGATTTTTGTCGAAACGTCGAGACAATAAAAATACTTACTTACTTAAGTATCTTTAATTTGAAGAACTATGAATGCTGGCCAGGCAACCTCTATCTTTACAGTAATATATTTAGTAGTATATGAGCATTCTTAAATGGTAGAGCCCCATCTAGTGGAATAGGAATCAACTAAACGTTGATTTAGACTTGTTCTATGATATATTTAACATGATTAAAGCGAATCAAAACTGACTTAACCTTCAAAAATTGATCATTTACAGGGGAGATCAGGATTCTGTTATTTTTATGAATGATCTTTTATAGTAAATTATCCTACGCATTCTTAATTCACCCACAGGATTTAGAAATAGCATAAGAATAATCGACAACGAAACTTCTATAAGCGACCTCTATGTGATTAGAAAAGACCTCAGTAATCACAAAATCAAAATAAACTTTTACTCTCAAATTCAACATATCTTTCTCTATTTCTGCAACTTTTAATAAAGAATAGGATCATCCATGTTTCTGTCTGGATTGTCTTTCATGGCAGGTTCTACCTTATATACTCAATTTATCCTTAAAGCAAAGAAATAACTGAAAAATGATCAAGAAATTTTCAAAAAATCAACAAAGAATAGTGCATTGTTATTCCAAAACAACTTCGGTAGAAACCCGATACCAGCAAAAGTAGTCTAAATTATTGATTAGCTCTGTTTTGTTCCATTGTCCAAACTTCAGGTTCCTCCTTATTTGCATCTTCACAATGGCTGACTTTAGGCCTAATTTGTATTCATGCTGCATAATTAGGCATGCCAATTTTCAGGCCTAAACACTCTAAGTGATCGGTGTTACAGTTTGATGTCTTGGGAAGAATTCCTTCGCTGATAACCAAATATAGATTGCCCATTCTACTTTGATCCCATTTCTCATTCTTCGTTCTTTAAAAAAAAAAAAACTTTAATTTTTCATAATTATCTTCATTAACCTTTATAATATTATATAGTAATTTTTAATCATTAAAGAATTGGCATATAAATCTTATTTGGTCGATTTATTTTGAAAAATGCATTTTAAAAAATTTGATATATCCAGTGTTGTCAGATTTTTTGTTAAGATTTTTATTAATATTCATAGAGTACGCAACCATTATTTTATTATATATATAATTCTAAATTATTTATATATATATATATATATTTATATATTTTTCTTATATTCATGATATATATCTTTAAATATTCATTTATCGTTTGCGTTGTTCAAATTTTGGAAGACGGCTGAAGAGAAGGGAAAGCTATATACATAATCTAATTGATGTAAATAATTATATGTAAATAATCTTTGTCAGGATTAGAATGACGAATCCTGTATGGGACTTTGATTCCAGTAAAAGGCTTGTTGCTGCTGTTGTATATAGTCACAATGTAGAAAATACTATACTATACCTACTACATATATATCTGTATTCTCAGTTCTCTTCTCTTCAATTACTCTGTAAACTGGCGAATCCTTTATAGGACGAAAGGTCCTCAATAAAGGCTTTTGTTGTTGTTGTTGTAATATTCATTTATAGGCTAGGAAGGTTTACCACTGAAGAGCCAAGCATTTACATTTTTTTTTATATTCAGAATTCATTAATTGTTGAAAAATTGGTCGTTATTCCAGTTGAAACAAATTAATAGCGTGCTGAATGTTTGCACATTCTATATTCTAAGTAATACAAAGAGATAATAGTTTGTATAAAATTGTCCATCAATTTGCTATCTCATTTAAATTCGAGCCTATTTACTTTTGGAAAAATAGCACAAAAGTGAAATTTATTATAAAAAAAGGCATCTCCCTATCGTGCAACTGAGAGTTTCTGATGGTTTGCTCCATCTATCGGAATAAATATCAACTATTCTTGTTGATTTTTAATTATTACAGAATTGGCCAAATACCTATTCTTGATTAATCAAGAAAAGCTAACCACTGACGCGTTTCGGGCGTATAAATTTGTACTATTTTTTCACAAAAGTGAAATTGAACTTGGATCAGGTGGATAAATTAAGAAAAAAAGGCATTTCCTGATTGTGGAACTAAAAGTTATCGTAAATATAGAGGCTGCCTGGCCGGCATTCATATTTATATAAAAAAATAGACACTTCGGCAAGGCATTAAAAATTGTTCTGAGGTTTGCAAGAGCGTTCTCACGTGATTTTTCGAAGTTACTGATGGCTTGCAACTTTTAATTTTACGAACAGGAGATGCCTTTTTTCTTAAATTTACTTTTTCTGCTTAGATGAAATAACACCGTTTTAGGTTTTAAATGTGGAGTCAACATCCTATCATTGGTATCTGAACCAAAATCCTAGAGCTATTGTAGAATGTAGGATGAACTGACAAGCAGCAACTTATATTTACAGGCTCAAAACTGGCCATACAAGACCGTTCCTTTTTTAGGATGGTGTAAAGACCTTCCCACAATGTATCATCTACAGGACCAAAGAGGCCTCACTAGACCACCTCTTGAAATGTTTGGGAGCCTCAAGATAGGAACTGTATTCCAACCCTACCAAGATTGTGAATTTGATCAATGAATATAGACTTTATGACCTTGTATAATTATACAATGGGATAATAAAAAAAGGATTTAAATGTTTAGAATGATATTAAATTTCTGGAGTGCAATTCGACTGAGGCAGACATGTTCTTTTTCGATAAAAGAATAAAATATTCGCTTAACCGAACAGTCTCAAAACTGGACCCTTTTTTATATCGTAGAATAATCGAGACATATCGAGGAAATCATCATATTGCTAAGAAATCATCATTTCTTTGTCTTAAAACCGTTATATTTGATTTCATAAACAATTTCTGTTATAGTGAATTACCAAAATGCCTTTAAACTTCATTGTTAAGTACAGATTTATTTATTTATTTCAACACACAAAACGTGATATCCCGGCTAGGGATAATTGCGTCGATTTACATTTTTTTTAAAACAGAAACAGTTATAAACATATTATACAAGAAAGAGTAACCAAAAATAAAAAGAGAAACAATAATATATATTATATATATTATATAATACATTGCGGCCTGTGATTGCAAAACGAAACTTGAAGTTACACCGCAGGAGTTTCTTTTCAATGAAAAATCAAAATTTTATTTCAAGGTGAAATATTGACTATTTCTAATCTTTTTGGATAAGGTATGAAAGGGTGAATTATGAAGAGTAATGATGAACGGAAAACTAAAAGTGTCCAGGGATGGAAATCGAACCCACAATGTTCCGCTTACCGGGCAGATGCCATGTCCACTAGGCTTTTTAATAATATATATTAGGAACCTGAACCTTTCAGGCCAGAAAGATAATCATAAATATATCTACAAAAATAGTTAAATCTATGATAATTCTCTCTGCTATTTACAAATTGATTAATTTTGATTGGTAAGCACAGATAGAAAAATAGTTTTATTTCTTTATAGCTATGCATTTTGAAAACAAACATTCTAGTTTTTCAAATTCCCCTTTTCACACAAAGACTCGCGTGCACATGGGGAAAGGGAGTGGAATTACTGTATTGTTTTGTTGTTGTATGGCGAATCCATACAGGGCAATGGGCCCTAATAAAAGCCTTTTGTTGTTGTTGTTGTCTTTCAAATTCATATCAATTAAAAATATTGAATTGAAATCGGGAATTATAAAACTCTTTAAGATAAGATTTTTGTTTATTTTGTGTAAAGTATCTTATTTCCGATTACCTTTTAATATTAAAATTATATTTAGGGCTCAAAACTAAGAAATATTTTTTATCTTAATTTCGGTTTGTTATTAAGTTTGGTAAATCTTAAAACATGATTAGTATTTATATAATCCAATCTCTCTCTCTCTACATAACATATTTTTATATCTATTTATCATTTTTATCATCATTTTCATTATTTTTAATTTTTCATAAGATTGTACACTTTCCAGTATTGGCAAGATGTCAATAAAAATATGTTACAATATAATACACTGCGGCCTGTGATTGTAAAACGACACTTGAAGTTACACCGCATGAGTTTCTTTTCAACGATAAAATCAAAATTTTATTTCAAGGTGAAATATCGACTATTTCTAACCTTTTTGGATGAGGTATGAAAGGATGAATTATGAAGAGTAATGACGAACGGAAAAATAAAAGTGTCCAGGGATGGGAATCGAACCCACAATGTTCCGCTTAC